TGGGTATTGTCACAACGTGAAGAAGATACGTAGCACGCTTTCTGGTACGGAACTTAGCGCCAAGCTAGGCCTCGTTTCCACCTCTTCGACCTCTGCGGGAATTGTTTACTCCTTGGAAGGCATGTACTTCTTGAATCCGAGGTAGCTGGCGAATGCCAGGTGGACCATGGCAGTTCCGAGTAGGACGGTGCTTCCGAACTTCTTGASCGACGCAAAGGCAAGGAAGCCACCGGTCCAGAACGAGGCACAAAGCAAAGCGCTGGTCTTCAATCTCGACATGTTGGTGAGGTTTCCGCGCAAGACTTGTCCAAGGAATGTTCCCATGTCCGAGGTAAGACCAGAAAAGTGGCAGGKACGGCACATGTTGGCAGACATGGTCGAGGTGAAGGAGTTCTGGATTCCGGTGGCAAGGCAGCACAAAAAGAGGTAGTTGATGTTGGAGGCACGGGAAAGAACAGATGCAGTCGTCAAGAGACCAGATGCAATGGCAAAGGTGGAAAGACTCTTGGGCACATCAATCTTGAAAGCCTGGGGTTTGGGGGTAAGAAGCCCGCTGATCACCGACCCGAACATGTAGCAGACAATGCACTTGGCGTTGAAGAGAAATTGGTGGATAGCCGCCGATGAGGCGGCCGACGAGGTGGAAGCCATAAGGCTGGCAGCACCGAGGGCGGAGTTCGTCCATGCTCCGGTGACCGCAGCGGACGCCTGCTTGGTTCCTTSCGACAAAAGGCCGGAAAGAGTGGCACTGTTGATGACGCCTGCGTTGAAGGCAAGGACCATTCCCATGGTCACCGCAGCTTTGGTGGAGACAGAGAGCATCGATTTCTCGTCATCGCTWGCTTCTTYCTTGGCAACGGTCTTGGCTTGCTTTTCTTCCTTCTCGGCCTTTCCGGGAATGGGGAAGACGGTTGTCGTATCGGAAGGAGACGACGCCAAGCCTCGCCCACGGGCAAATTTCGGGGTCAAGAGGGCTGGCCTTTGCACACGGTTGCTGCTTCGGGTGCCCACCGCATTGGTGGTCGAAAACGCATCGGCGAGGTAGAGAGAGAGGAGGGCTGTCGCAATGACGCTGCAGAAAGAGGTCTTCATGGTTTTTTACTCGTTATAACTTTCGAACAATGGACGCTATCGAATTTATGGAAAAATGCGTCGGGGCGGGGCAACTTTGACACGCTGACGTTTCTATGATTGGAGAGCATGCCATAATCCTCTCGTTGAAGAGCAGCGAATGAAAGGCCTGAGGTAAATCCGAGTTTGGAAGTACTGGTACTACCGGTACGTACCAAAGATTATATGTATGCGCTTGACGGCCGTTTGAAGAAGATGATTGGGGATCCTTGCCAATGAAGATACAGCACTCGTGGTCTTAGTTGTACTCGTACTCGTACTCGTACTTGTGCTCGTGCTCGTGCTCGTGCTCGTGCTCGTAATCGGTCTGATTCCATGAAGTGGACCAATTGAATTTGTTTTTCTGGCAGTGAGAAAGCATTCCCCTTCTCCGAAAAAGTCGAATACCACGAAGACCCGTAGCGAACAACCAAGCCTAGATAGATTGTTGTGTGGCCAAACTGAATTTCGCGACGGTTCGGAAAAGGTTGACTAATTTCTGGAAACGGTCAGAACTTTTCAACATGATTGGTTCTGATTGGTTGCTCAAAAATATGATGAGGTTTGGGGGAATCTAAGCAAATCAATACACAACAATAATTSGGAATATTACAATTTAATAAATCTCCGCGAGCTCTATCGGTTTCGGAATGACAAAAAGAACAATCCTCTTGACGTCATGTTGACGTCACGACRATGGTTGGGACATCAATGACGTGGAAATGGAACACGTGTAATGGCAATCGACAACTTTTTTCGCAGAAGAACATGACGAACCGTCTGCAAATTGATGCATGATTGGGTCATTCCCGATAGTCTAGCATCTATTTTTGGTCTGTCTGTCTGTCAAAATTTAGACTTTCTAGACTATCAGGAATGACCCATTGATAGATCTCGAATTAATCATGGAAGTCGAATAGAACAAGTAGAATAAAAAAGTACTACTAGTACTAGTACTTGTACTGCATACACAAAATGCAACTAAAATTGCATTATCATAATTGCCTCAAAGGCAACAAAAATTCCTACCATACTATAACCCTATGACCCAAATAGCTGTATACTGTGAAAACATACTCCTCTTTTTGAGACCATATTGTTTTTTTCCACAGTAATTATCTACTGGGTATGGTACTTCTTTTTCTTGCCTACCAACCATTCAGTAGCATTTTAGTTGCATTCTCAACCATTGAATACTGCAGCAGAATGCAATAATACAGACACCCAACAAAAATTGGTCATATCTTGATTAAGGGGAATGACCCAATGCAACTCAGTATA